TAATGTATAATTTATGTAAATTATATATTATACATATATATATATATATATATAATATATTTCTAAAAATTTATTAGTATCTATGTTTCTATATAATATGTTATTGTGAGCTACAAACATTACTTAATCATAACATGATTATATTATATGAATATTAATTATTGTCTGAAGAGTTTCTATTGCCATACATACTTGATCGTTATTATTTATTTATTATTATTTATTATTAACACTATTACATCGACTTTACCGACTGTTGCTTTGATGCTATGATTTTCGTCAAATCAATGTGTTCTTGAATGCTATGAGATTTTTCGGCGAGGAAAAAATCCCAATCCAAATTTTGTCAAAATTTTGACAAATTTATTTATTGGAATTTGCATTATGACGAAACCTACCGTACAGATCGCAGAGCTCGCTAATCATGTATTGTTAGCGTCCCTTGTGCAAAAAATGTCGAAAAGGCACGAAAGGAATGCCTGACGATGACGACAACGACATTTCTTAGAACGAAATCGCGCAATCGTGAAAGTCGCATACATCAAAACTTTGCATCGCAATATCTCCGCTTGTAAGCAGAGAATAAACAAATAAAAATACTTTTATTATTTTTTCGAGTGGTCTTTATTGAGATCGCATAATCGCGGTCTGGAAATTTTCGACGATTTGCGTCGCGTAATCGTGCGTATAATAAGGATACACGGCCAGTCTTGCACTGACATATCCGTCGTTGCCCGCTGCGCGTCTTTGCGCAAGACAGAGAGTGTGTCTTCAAATACAATAGATAGAAATACAAAGTAAATGTATTACAAAACAAACTGTATGGAACCGTAAAATTCGAGAACAATACACTTGTTCATCACAAATCGAAATAATATTTTGACGATTATTTTGGTCGCAATGTAAATTTCAATAAATAAAGCACGTCGACAAAATTTGGATTGGGATTTTTTTCTTGCTAAAAAAATCTCGTAGCATTCAAGACCATATTGATTTGACGCAAATCAAAATAAGTGCTCGATACTTTTTAAAGACTGAATCATTATATCTTTTCACACAGTTTCTTCTCTTATATGTCTCTATCTTGTTCACGTTTATTTAAAACATTGTCTTTTAAAAGATATATTTATTAAATAATGTTAAATTTTATTGAACCATACATGCAGGAACACCACCTTTTATAAATGCTTTATATGTATAAATTTATACAGAATTATCGTTTAAGGCATTTATTTCTTAGTTGTAATACATATATACATATGTAGGATTAATAATGTTGTTTAACACTGATTAATACTGTGATAGAGTTCTTTTGCTGCGAATTAATGGTTCACATTAGAAGAACTTTCAGGAAAGTGCATATCGTTAATTTCCAAGAATAATTACAAAACTTTATGACGCACTCGAGCCACCCATTATTGTTTGAGCCTTACGCGATAAATAGAGGTGTACTAACAAGTTTTGTTGCGAACTTGCCGCAACAAAGCGTCATTACGCCGAGTAGTCGATCATTATTTTGAAGCAAGAAGTTGTTCATCGCTGACCTGCTTTAATAATGACGAATGGATTGCGATATCACTGTAACAAGTTGCATTTTGAATCGAAATTTCATGAAATGTTAATCCTTGCATAGCGTCATTTAGACTTTGCTTGACTTTACAAATTTATTTTTAAAAACACAAATTTTGTTAATATATAAACAAACGAATTTTATTAATAAACAATTTTTGTTTAAAATTGAATTATTTTTAATCAGTTTTTAAATACCGTCAATCTAAATATACAGGATGTCTCGAGAGTATCTTATATTAATTTTTAAAGATATTGATTTTTAATAATTTTTTCCTCTAACATTATCAACTTTACAGAAAAATAGCGAGAGATAAAAATTATTTATTTTCTTCTCATAAAGCTCTGAACATTTTTTCAGAATTTTTCCAGAATTTTTGAATACTGTATTTCTTATGTTGGTAAAAATAGTTGCCAATAAGAAAATACAGTACCAAAAAATTAACAAAAAATTTGTTGAAAAAATGTTTAGAGTTTTATGAGAAGAAAATACACAATTTTTGTTTGTCCTTGCAGTTTTTCTGTAAAGTTGATAGCATTTGAGGAAAAAGTTATTAAAGACCAATATATTCGGCTATCTTCTAAAAATTAATATCTCGTTAACCATTGCGAAATTTGTAAAAAAGACTTTTCGACTCAGTTTAATCCGCTTTATCTACACAAAAGCAATTGGAAGAAACTCTCGGGACACTCTATATATATAATATATATAGTATATATGTATACTGTACTATATCATTATCGACAATAACAAAAGGGAATTATCGTTAAGTCCGATTCTCGTGCAATACCGCGCGAGTGTAATTGATGAAAGATATATGGATGATGGGGGTAAATTTTACCTCCGTAACTGATTTTTCACCAATCAACATTTGCATGAAGATTCGAGCTAATTCTAAAACTGCTGTCGTTGTTCAGAGATCTACCTATATTACAGTTGCAATTGTATTCTGCGTAATATTGCGTATATTAAATAAGGAGGTAATAACTTATATATAAAAGCTTTCATTATATTGTTGATTTGGCAAAATTTGACAACTTGTCGATAAAGCATTCGGAACAAACGTCATTATTTGCGTACTTACCAGGTATATGCATATGAAAGTGGATTTTACCATAGATGGTCATAGTAGATCAATGTAGTTACCGTCAGAGCACGTCATTGACGCCATTTCCTTGTTCTGACAAAAATTTTCAACTCACAACAATACAAGTTTCATACAACAGTATAGTTTGTAATAGTGTTGAACATGTCGAATTTTGTGCCTGATAACTACGATTTGCGGACAGTATTGATTTTCTGTTACAAATTGAAGAAAACTGTTGCTGAATCGCATCAAATGCTTGTCGAAGCTTTCGGTGAGCATGCTCTTGGTAGATTACGGTGCTATCAATTGTTTAAAAAATTCAAAAGTGGCGATTTTGACGTGAGAAACGAAGAACGTGGAAAACCACCGAAAAAGTTTGAAGACAGAGAATTAATTGCAAGCATTGTTGGATGAGGATGACGCTCAAACTCAACAACAACTCGCGGATCAATTGAATGTGACACAAGAAACCGTCTCCAGACGTTTGAAATCCATGGGAAAGATCCAGAAGGTGGGAAAATGGGTTCCACATGAACTGAATGAAAGACAGCAGGAAAACCGGAAAACCATTTGCTAAATGCTGCTCGCCAGGAACAAAAGAAAGTCATTTCTCCATCGAATTGTGACTGGCGATGAAAAGTGGATATATTTTGAGAATCCTAAACGTAAAAGATCGTGGGCAACTCCAGGCAAACCATCGACATCGACTGCAAGGCCAAATCGCTATGGACGGAAGACAATGCTTTGTGTTTGGTGGGATATCGGAGAGGTGTGATCTATTATGAGCTGCTAAAACCTGGCGAAACCGTTAATACTGAACGCTACCGACAACAAATGATCAATTTGAATCAAGCTTTGCTTGAAAAACGACCGGAATATCGGAATAAGAAGGCAACACAAAGTGATTTTGCTTCATGATAATGCATCATCACACACAGCAAAACAGGTCAAAGAAACGATTGAGACGTTTGATTGGGAAATATTTTCGCATGCCGCTTACTCACCAGACTTGGCTCCGTCCGATTACTACTTATTTGCATCGATGGGACACGCACTTGCTCAGCAGCGCTTCACTTCTTACGAAGATGTATGAAAATGGCTATGATGACTCATGGTTTGGCTCAAAAGAGCAACAATTTTTTTGGCGTGGCATCCACAAATTGTCAGACAGGTGGCGAAAATGTATAGCTAGCGATGGGAAATACTTCGAATAAAATATTTTTTATCATTTTCATGCAATAAACGTGTATTTTCTATAAAAAAATCCACTTTCATATGCATACACCTGGTAGTGATTACTTAGTCGCTGATAGATTAAAAAAGCTGTCCAAAATAAATGATATATGTTAATGATGCTGCGTTGATATATGTAGTTGCACTTTTGTCGCTATACAACGTCCGGTCCTTTCAAAGACGACCTCTTTTTTCCGCATATCGATTCATCCATCGTTTTTTTATGGTTCTGAATAATGCAACGCAAGTGATATCCACGGCACACGTTTAATGCCGCTGGAAGATGATGAAAAATTGCCAGGGATGTTGGAAATCATCCTTCGGGTCACTCAAGCGCGTATAACGTATCCGAATATTTGTATTTATATAGCTGCAGACTTAACGCGTTGAGTCCAAGTCCATTGAAAAACATTGCCACGCAAACGGTTCCTGGAGAAGAGAAAATAATAGTTTCCGATATACAATAATTGTATGTGAAATTGCTCGATTTCACTTTCAAACATTGACATATATTTTTATATTTTACCAATTAGACATATTAATTGTTACAACTAATAATGTCGCAAATCTGACGTTGACTTTTATTTCTTTTGGCTTCAAGTTCAGCAAAGTGAATTTTCAATCAACATACATGCATATACATATATTTTCATATTTTCACAAGTACACATATATACATATTGTTGATTTGGCAATTTGACAACTTGTCGATGAAGCATTCGGGACAAACGTCATTATTTGCGTATTTAGTGATTACTTAGTCGCTGATGGATTAAAAAAAGCTATCCAAAATAAATGATATATGTTAATGATGCTGCGTTGATATAGTTGCACTTTTGTCGCTATACAACGTATTTCAAAGACGACCTTTACAACATATAAGTATGTGTATGTTATTACAAATACGTATATTACACGTATAATTATATACAATAATCTATTCTTCTCTCGCATATAATCTAAGATCTAGACTTTTGGTTTTGATTCATAGTAACCTAAAGATTAATAGTTAATAATCCTTAATTCGCGAAAACATTCGAAACAATATTCGGAAATATAATTACATACGGTATGTTAACTATACGTATGATCTAGATATTATATTTTCAGAAAACGCCAGTCGCTGGTGTTGGCCGAATGGAACCTGGGACAATTACTCCAATTATTCCATGTGCCGCGACGTGCAGTTACCAACTATCGAGCCCGGTATAGAAATCACAACTACACTATATTTCATTGGCTACAGCCTTTCCTTATTTACTCTAATAATGGCGGTCTGCATATTCATTTATTACAAGTAAGTGAAGAATACTCAATCTGAAATTCTCCTCTATGTGTTACATTACATTTTTTAAAGGAAATCAACTAGGTGCGTTCCCAATCGAAATTTCGAAAAAACAATATGTCCAATTAAGATTAGCGCGTTATATAGCGAAGCGTACATAGAAGTGCTAAACTTAAATGATTCTAATTGGTCATATTATTTTTTTCTACATTCCGTTTTCTGAAATTTCAATTGTCATGGGACTCTTTCGCAGCAAAATAAATAGCATTCTTGTATTTATTAAATAATAATGTATAACGATATCAAACTTACACGCACAAGTTACGAGAGAGAGAGAGAGAGAGAGAGAGAGACTTATAATTTTAAACAAAAGGATCTTTTTGATTTCCAACTTGCTACGCTCTCGTCATCTGCAGCTTCAGCATTAGGGCTGTCGCACACCTTCCGTAACAGTAACCATAAGACATACCGTAAGAATAAGCCAATCACAGTCGAGAATTCTTTTGAACTCTTAACTCATTTGGCTGTTTCTTACCGTACGCCTTATGGTTATCTACTATTACGGAAGATGTGTGCGGCAACCCTTACACGTGCGAGATGTCTCGAACTGAATTACGCGGTCGAAACAGTATACGTATAATAAGTAAAGTGTACACCCGCGGACACTTGACATCGGAAGGAAAACGCTATTAATATTATAAATATGTGTATGTATGTATTTGTATTATTTTCTCTTCATTCAGACGTAAAACAAGGCTAGAATGACACTACATAACTAAATAGCGCTAATAGTTTCCCCGAACGCTGCGAATCTTTGGAATTCTATACGTTAAATTCTGCTAGTAATTTTACAATATTTATTTCATTGTGATTGCTCCAAGCATCACGTATCAATCTAAGGGTGCTTTCCATTTGATAATACATTCTATTTTTCTTCAGTAACAAAGATAAAACAATACTTGTGCCGACTTATTGTGTCATCAAATGGAAAAAGCATCCTAAATGAAATCTATAACAGTACGAAAATATTTCAGAGTTTCTCAAGACTTATTTGCCTCATATCTTTTCTATAGAGAGTTACGGTGTCTCAGAAACAACATACACACGAATCTAATGTTTACTTATATCCTGGCTGATTTGACATGGATTTTAACTACTGTGATGCAGGTAATGCATGTGTGTAAAAAAATTCACTTTTATTTAAACGGTATTCTTAATTTTACGCCGTTAATATATGTATATATGTATACATATGTCACAGTCAAAAATTAATTTATTGTTAGTAAATGTATACACATACTCTAATTCGATACGTAAATGTATCCACAAGTGATGAAATTGAAACTTGTACTAGTGTAGATGCATATATTTTCATACCCGATTTAGTAAAAGTAAGTATATGCACAAGTGAAAACTGCATCAGTTTAAATGAATACTTTTGCCAACATATGTGCACATAAGTCACATAATACTTCAAATGCACAGCTGCAGAAAGTCAATTTAATTTCTTAAACATGTATAAAAAATTAGACTCGCAATATCATGTTTTTAGTAATGTGTAGCAAATATATGCAATATCTACGTATAAATATTTATATGTTTGTAAACTTGAAATATGCTCTTACTAATGTGTTATAGCAAATGTAGATACACATATTGTCTAGTAAATAAATACATTTCCTAGGAATAGTAGACATTTTTATATTTGCGTACAGTTGATACTTTTGCTAAAATCTTACGTAAATGCTTACATTGACTAGTAATAAATGTATATACATTTACTAAGTTTAACACTTTGACTGTGATACATGTGTGTGCGTGTGCGTGCGTGCTTGATTAACAAATTACATAACTATTTTTTCTCTCACATTATAAATTCCTTCATTTTTATCTAGCAATATTCGATAATTTTTTTAAACCCAAAAAATTGAATTAACATTATGAATATAAATTTATTCCGTTACTAACTGCAGTTTATTATTAAAAATGTTAAAATTATTCTAAATCGCAAATTTTTGTTTATTTATTGTAACAAGATATGATAAATCTTGACAATAACGGAAGTAGTTCCGATGATCTTGACCTTGACATATGTATATGTTATCAAACAGGTTTTAGCCGTCGCTCATCCTGAAATTATCAACAATCAAAGTTGCTAATTATTTCCCTGCTTTATTGACTGTAGGCAAATGGGAGATTTAAAATGGATCGACTAGGAGAGTAGGACTTTCTATGTGAGGCAATATTTATTCCATCACTCCCCCAGCAACAATTCACTGCTTTAAAAACAATTCACTGTTTTACAAATAATAATTCAATGCTTTTAAAGCAATTACAGAAAGGTTTCAAAAATAACGTTGTATTTTCACTGAAAACTTCCATGAAAATCTTTTTTGCTTATCAAATTCCCCCCCCCCCCCCCCCCCGGGCCCCTCCACTCTGCAAAGGAGCGCACGACTTCTATGATTGTACTTTTGTACGTAGATTTCGACTTTACGTGAAACGAAAGCTATCTCACACCAAAAAATGGATTGGGTTATTTTTAACAGTAGTACAGCCTCCCACAGAAAGGCGGAACCTATACTATATCCACTTTACTTATATACTTCACAACATAAAGCGACATGGAAGTTGCGAGCTCCTTCGCAGGGGAAGCTCCACTATTGTTTTTAAAGCAGCAAATTATTGTTTGTAACATTTGTACATTGTAAAGAGTTTGTGCGTAGATGCAGTAGGTTTCGCCTGCCTGGGGGAGGGGAGGGCTCCATTGTTAGAAATAATCCAAACTCAATCCATTTTTTGGTGTAAGATAGCTCTCGTTACGTGTAAAGTCGAAACCCATGTGCGACAGTACAGTGTCATAGAAGTTATGAGCCCTTTTGCAGATGGGAGAGGAGGTGAGAGTTATTACTTCACGTGGAAGGTTTAATATTCCCAAACAGGGAGAAGTGTAGAATAGTACTTAATATCGTATAGCAGAAATAGTACATTATTTTTAAAACTTTTTTGTTAATAACTTTTCAACGAAGGACGAAAGACGGCTAAAACCTGTTGGAGGTTACTCAGGGTCATGACCTTGACAACATATATCAAGGTCAAGGTTATCGGAGCTGCTACCGTTATTATCGAGGTTTACTCAAAATATTAGTTAAATAAATGTTCTTTACGATTTTGAATTATAAATAATCAAACGTTTAATAAATGTATCGACTTTGATTAAACATTTTTTTTTGTTATTAACAATTTTAATGTGTCAGCGCACATCTTGCCTTGATGAAGTGAACGGCATGGTTCACGAAACGTTGGCATTAATAATGAAGAAAGACACGGCGATAACCCGCAACCCTTCTGGTATAATTTTAATGTATTAAGCACTGTACTGCGTGAAGTTGTTTTCAGTTTAATGAAGCGTTGCTTCTATTCCATTATATTGTAATATTAATTCCATCACTCTTTGACAGCTTAAATTAGTTTACTATAAAAAACAAGAGAAAAAAATAATAAGAAAAAATGAAACGTGAAGAGGAATATATAAATTTAGTTACTCCTAATCATTAATAAGTAAAAAGAATTGTTCATTTTTATAACGTTATATAACACACCGATCGTAACCTTCGTCAGTGATGAGATAATAATGTACAAAACTGATTCAAAGATTCTTGTGATTTATATTATATATGCATGTACATCTAACGAATTATTTACCCAAAAAAAATGATCTAATTGTAAAGTGAAATTCCGGTAACCTCATATTCCTCTTCCAATGCACTGGACTATTCATCAAAAATATATTGGAAATTATTCTAACAGTTTTCCTCTTGTATTAAGAGGAATATGTTAACTTAAAGCGTAAAACAATGCCCTCTTACGAATAACATAAAAAGCAATGTGTAAGATTTTTACTGCAGATGCAAAACAAAAGTACTCTAACTGTAAGAATATTGTGCTTAGAATATTTTCCTCTCGATTTCAGAAGATTCCTCTTGAGGCCGCATATAAGAATAAAATCCTCTAAGATTTAGGGGATTCTGCTAATATTAAAATTTTTTTTTTTGGGTGTTACTAGTAAAACTTTTTGATTTATTAACAATTAATTCTTTAATAACTCCACCGCGCGCTCGTATGATAATGTTCGCTATATGTATATGTTATTAATGACTAATTTTTCATATTTTGTGTGTCTATATTATATAATATAAATAATCAATGTAATTTTCAATTAACGTTAAACGCAAAAAGAGAAATAGGAAGAAATGGAAGAAGAAGAAGAAGAAGAAGAAGAAGAGAGAGAGAGAGAAGGGGAATAGGAAAGTGGCATTACTCTTTATTAATAGCTTAATATAAAAATAAAATGAGCAGAATGCCAAAGGCTATCTCTTCCATCAAATCAATTTGTTGATGGTGTCCTGAATATCGTAGAAATTCTCAACGACAGTACCCTTCCAAATACCCTAATTAAAAGTTGCATTTTGCATAGCATTTTAATTTGAATCTTATAAATCTCACAAGCTCTGGGTGATATAATAGTACGATTGTATATCATTTCCAGGTATCTATGCAAACGGATATACCAACTTGCGTGATATTATTCTCGTTTCTTCATTACTTCCACTTGACAAATTTTTTCTGGATGTTCGTCGAAGGTGAGTTAGAAATGTAACAGGCGCACCTTTTACAAAGTACACAATATCGTTACTCTGAACACGAACTTACAAGAAAGGAAATATTGTCGTGCATAAGAGTGTTATTACTCAAAAAATCAAAACGATAATATTTAATTTGAAGAAATATCCGCGCACGCATGTGCATGGAGAATACTTAAAATATTTAAAATATTTAAATATAATAAATATTAATACGCGCAGCGCGCTTATTCTTACTATTTCATGTTTACAGGTCTATATCTGTACTTGTTGGTCGTGAAAACATTCACTGGCGATAATATAAAATTGAGACTCTGCTTGGTGATTGGCTGGGGTGAGTGAGCTAATGATTCTAAAATCGCGTGAAAGAAAAGGATTTTCAGATCATCTGCATTTGGATAACATTATGTTTTAACACAATCGACGATTAAACAAATAAATAATTAAATTAAACTGATAGATAAATAAATCTAGGTATCCCGGTGCTTGTAATAGCCATGTGGGGAATTGCCAAGTCGCTGGATCAAAAAATCATAAACCACATCATGAATCAAGCTAACCAGGTATAAATTTAAATGAGAACGTCTCTCTGACGTACGTTACTTGTAGAATACAGCGAATTTCCGTCTTTCTGAGGGAGAAATCTTTCATTTCCTGATGTAGCAACGTGTAACAGGCTGTTCAGGCAGCGTCAAAAATATAATAAAATATCGAGCAAAATTTTATTTTTTAGTCACACTTACCTATATTAATGCCCGTATCCAAGTATAATACTTGACAAGGATAAAACACGCAAGAATGAAGACAGGAATAACATACACAGAAAATAAGGTGATCGATATATCGATATATGTATGTATAATGTACATACATAGTGTACATACACATGCGTGTATATATCACCGAACGTTCGATCTAAACGAATACTAGATAGACGCGTCAAATTTAATTTTTTATCATTCGCCCGTGAAAAAAACTTTCCATTGAACCACGCTACAGTATAATGCATAACAAAGTGTATAACAACAAGGATCAATCGACAACTTTGACTTACTGAAAACTTGTTAAATTTGTTTGTCACTACTCTCATGTAATCGAAAATGTGTATATTGTGAACAAAAAGCTTTTCGAAACTACTGCAGAAATAATGTACACTGAAAAAGAAGTTTGATAATAACTATTAAATGTTTATATATATAGTCAAATAATGCTAATTATAAATATTTGGTTAATACAATTAAACATAATTTTACCTTTACTTGTCGATCTTATGTAACATTATCCATTAATTATATGAACTCGATGCTGGCAGGAAGTGGTGCTCTGGAGACACTGTCCCTGGATGATACCGCATCCGTACGACTGGTTTTATCAAGCGTCTGCTATAATAGTTCTAGCAGTGAACATGGTATTCCTTTTCATGATTATGCGGGTGAGTACACTGCGCCACTTGAATTAATCTTGGAATGCTACTTATATATACGTTACAAACATACAGATAACTTGTATGTAAATATTATCGACAATATAAAAACACTTTACGCGTGTTTTTGTATTACCAAATTATATATTATTATAGTTATTTATCAATGTTCGTCAAACTCCTGTCACGATAAGATGTTTCGTTAGATTGTTCTACAATAAAGTAAAAACTTAAATTCTAAGGCATATTTGGGGAAGTTATTTACAACTTAATTACTTCAAGATCAATGCATTTAATTCCACAATATCAAAATAAACGCACTGAATGACAAGGTGCAACGTTATTTGTTATCGTTTTAACATTAAAATGATGTCTTTGATGATATTTTAACGTAAATGATGATGACAAATAAAATTAGCTTGCTGCCTGGATTATTTTATCAAAATTTATCTTATACATTTTGTTTTTATTTATAATATACGCACAACAAGCGCAGTTGACGGCCACTGTGATTATAATCATCATTAATACATCGTATTAATTAAAAACATATACATAGAAATTTATATTGCCATGCATTTTTGTGTCCATTCAAATTTCTTATTTGAGATAAGCACTCGTATGCTCTAGACTCTCTTTCTCTCCCCCTCCCCCTTTCTCTCTCCCTCCTTCTCTCCCCCCTCCTCTCTCTCTCTCTCTCTCTCTCTCTCTCGACTCTGACTACGACAAATGTTGGTGGACAGTAAACAAATGAAATAGCTCGTATACAGGACGAATAACGTTTTAAAGTAATTTGATCATGTGATTTAATCTTAAAGAGAAGTGCCGATAAAATGGTCGTCCAATTAGCTAACGGGTATCCTATATGTATAAAATACTTTTTTCTCGAAAACCAACCTCGCGCATTGAACTTTTAGTCGTTATCTTACATATGTATATTAAACAATACTGCACATACAGGCGCGGTGTCAAACTTATATATTTCAAGATAAAACAATTTCTGGACAATCCCATTAATTATATATATATATATATATAGTCGGATAAATGATAAAAAAAGCCTCGTTGAAAAAAGAACGAAGGAAAATATATATATTTATTTGAGAAACACCCTAGTAGTCGTATATATTGTCGTTCCCCTAAATTGAAATATAACGCGTACCGCATGCCCTGCAGGTGCTGATAACGAAGCTTTGGTCCTCTAATAACGTGGAGACGCAGCAATATCGGAAAGCCAGTAAAGCTCTCTTGGTGTTGATACCACTTCTAGGAGTGACGTATGTGTTAGTTATAGCTGGACCTACTGAAGGCCAAGTCGCCAATGTATTCTCTTACGCACGTGCGATTCTGCTTTCTTCGCAGGTAAAAGTTATTTAAAGAATATTTAAAAAGAAAAAAAACGTCAGCGATATAAGCGGTCAAATTTAAGCAATAAATAAACTTATCGATTACAAACATTTTCAAAAATTTCTTCTCTTCGATTCTATTATTGTGCCTCCAACTTTCCTATATGACAGTAAAATGTACAAGCTCATTATTCTAAATCAATCATAATTTGATTATTAATCTTAAAACTGAAATATAATATAGAAAGAGTAATATTTGAAACATTTTTGCCAAAAAGAAGAAAATAAATTTTAAAAAGAGAAATAATTCGCTGAATATTTTCCTGTCGAGCAGGAAGGTAGAATAATAGAATGATTTATACTACTTTGGCAACAGAGAGCATATTTGAGACTTTTTCGCTCTAAAAGCAAGGAAAATTCGTTATTTCTAGAGAGAACTGATTCAATCAAAATTTTATTATAGCGAAGAGTAATCTCTCGCAACCGAAAATAAAAACATATAATAAATATAATAAATGTGATTCCTACTTTTTTTCAGGGATTCTTTGTGGCGTTGTTTTACTGCTTTCTCAATACTGAAGTACAGAATACAGTTAGACATCATTTCGCACGATGGAGCACTACACGAAATCTTGACAGCCGTCGGAGGTATTATAACAATTGGTCCCCTCGTACAAGAACGGAGAGCATAAGGTACTCGTTTTACGTGTACCTTATGTTAAAAATATCTTCATATATGTACACATAATAAGTCACAGAATACGTAATAGGATTGATCAAAGCCGGGAACTAGACACATTTTTGACAAAAGAAAACAGTGTGCCTCCTCGGTACAATAAAAAAAAACATAAAATATGTATCAGAACTATGAGAGTCTAGCAATTTACACTTGACACATAAATAACAGCACATACATCTTGCTAGACTCTCATAGTCCTGACACATATTTAATGTCTTATTACTTTTTTTATATCAATCAAATAATATAAAATAAAAATAAATTTTTGTTTTACGGTATATAAAATGTAATATTAATTAATGATGTTTAATATTAACTTAATAAGAATTACATAATTACATATAATATACAAGTATACGTTACAAACGGATTACGTGTACATGCGTATGTTACAAACGAATGAAATACAGTTCCTCTAAAGTCAATCATAGTAAGATAAAAGTACAAGTGTCTCGTTTGACCTAATACCGGTTCTGGACTATTAATCTTTTTTAAGACAATGTAGTAATCAACATCAAAGTCACAATTGTCTCATTTGAATAAGATCCTATAATATAACTTTGCGAAATGAGTTTTGCGAACTTTTATTGATTCACTGATTGATTGCTCATTTTACACCTTTAGTATGTTATTTAGCAATTTTGTAATTTGTTATTTTAAAATTGAGAATTCTCACTTTTTGATTCTCTTCTTTTTCGTCACCGACCATATAGATTGTGCCAGCCATCGAATCCATACAGAAAGCGGGAGTCTACAGTAAGTGAGACTACCACTACGACAGTAATAGGCCCGAATTCCACCACGACATTCCATCTCGATAAATCCAAAGGGGTTATTTCGGAAGCTCTTAACGAATGATATAAGATACACGACAGAGATTAAATGTAGTGGGATCAAATCCCGTCACATTGCTGCAATTAGCAATTTGCATGATTCGATTGATTCTTTATATTATCTACGAATGGTGGACCATTACATGCATGAAAATTGTTGCAATTCGCAACGCTTTCCCCAAGACTTTATTATTATTCTTGTACAATTAATTTATGTGAAAGAAATGTCATCGATATACTCGACATACTCGATATATTTTCACATTGCGCCAAAATAACTGGACAACTCTCACATATCACTACAATATTTTTATACTGCGATCTTGTTGGATTATAACGTCGAGTGAAAAAGTATATATATATGTATATAGATTTCATTTTAGCGCTCATATGTATCTATGTACAACGTCGTAACTTATCGTTATCGACAATATTGATTTACATAAAATACGCAAAAAAGAAATTCATTTTGTAGATTACGAAATAATCAATAATTATCAATTGTCTATAATTAATATAAATCATAAAATATATTTTTTTTGAAAATATATAAAACATATGTACCTATATTGTATTGCACATTATTTACGTATTAATTTGTAAAAAGGTTGAGAAAAACTATTTACGTTATTTATTACGATATTTATAGTATAAAAATAAATTTATTTTTATATGTAGTGTGCAAAAGAAGATTCGATCGTTCTCTCTTTTGCTTCTGACTTAATAATTTAATATAGCTGCATAGAAAAAACCATATAAACATACTTATTATAATAAAAGGAAGATAAGTCAATAAAGAGAATATAATTTCATGAAAATTATTACTTTGCAAATTAAAGCTAGATATTCGAAATTTATACTTATTATAGAATCTCAATATGTATAATAATAATAATTCTATAATATTAATTAGAATTAAAAGAAGAATCGCGACAGATAAATTTCCATAAAAATTAAACTTTGTATTGCAGATAATAGATATCGCTTGACTTTACTATAAAATAATTCTCGTTATCGTACAATTATCGTAGTTACAAGTAAAACCCAAATGTAAATGTCATTACGCGATTAATGTCGCTTGATGGTTTTTAACGCCGAAACTAGAAGTAGCGGCAATTAAAAGTAAGATAATCACAACTCGATCTTTTTATTCACAATTATACGTTCAATAGAGTGTTTGTAAGCTATACGTGTGAATTTCATGAGATAAATATTTTTGTTAAAAGATTGTTGTATGTAGATGCTAGACATCGTGCTATATAGTGTTGACAAAAAGTTAGACTTTCTTTCTCCTTCCCTCCCCCTTCTCTCTCTCTCTCTCTCTCTCTCTCTCTCTCTCTCATCTGCTTTTTCTGTTGATACAGTAATTTCTCTTTAACAAAATGTTAAAAACTTGTGTATATGATACTAAAAAAGGAAACATTTTACAATAAATTAAAATTGTCCAAATCTACGCTAGAATACTAAAACTTAATCCAACGAATCAATGATAATAATATCAATGATAATATTGTCAATAACTGCATAAATTACGTAAAGATCTGCCAAATATAACGGAAACAAAAGCGTATGATCGATGAAAAAAATTCTTGTTCATGAAAAAAATTTCATTCTTTCCAGAATTCTTTATATGTTTTAAATTAATAAATTAATAAAAATTTCTGAAATAAACCTCTTAAACTTCTTCAAATTTTATTAAGTTTCTTATAACGCAATCAGAAATTTTCAAATATTTCACATATGTATGTATATAAAAAAAGATCCAAAAAAAATGTAGTTTTTTCAGCATTTCTGAAAAATGTTCTTTAAAAAATTACAAAATTATATAAAAATTCTAAAAAATTCTAAATTTATATTGAAATCCTGAAAAATAATTTTAAAAAATTTTGAAGTTTCTAAAAAAACATTCATCGACATGCGCAGTGAGCTAAGGTATTCCAAAAAGTGATATTAAAAGTCAAATTTAAAATGTTGACATGAAATCATAATAGTTTTATAAAATAGACATTTTTGAAAGTACTTATCTTTAGAATATTAAGTGGATGCATGGAGTAATTAGTTTATCTTTAATAGAAATAGTAATAAAACATAATAGTAACAAAACATAATAGAATTGATATTCTTATAAATTATTTATAATATATTTTTTTATCTAAAAATTTCTCAAATTCCTAAATCTATATATTGTACAAACTTTTTTATCTAGGTATAAAGATGAGAAAAGCAAAATTACGAACATGAAATATTATAATATTTATCCTTGACTCCACAGCTGTTTTGGGAAACAAGATCTCTGCTTCAAAACTAATTTGTCGATTTATTATTTTCCGTTTATTATTAACAACATCCTTTATTAAATATAGGATGTCGTATTTTAACAAATGTACTTAAATATCTTAAAAACTAGATAGATAGATAAGATAATTAAGATTTAGTATTTTTCAGGTTGTATGATTTTGTGCTAGAGAAAAATATATTTTAATTTAAAAAAATTAATCTTGGCAAGTGCAGAGAATGTCCAGATAAAATAAAGTTCAATTTAATTATTTTAATCCATTGCAAACATGGCTAAACTAAAAAGATTAACAAAAAAATGTAATCATTGAAAATAGGACTGAATATAAAAAAATTTTTTATATAAAAAGCATATTACAAAAATCAATTTTATATGTAATAAACAAATTATTAAATGTTGACTGTAGGGAGAAATTTTAGCTCCTAGCTGGCTCGGTAAAGTTAGAAAATAGCAAATAAAAGTTATTCTTTCGTAATTTTTCTTAACGAAAAAATTGATTTGTAAAGTCAATTTCCCTCTACAATAAATATTTAATAATTTACTTGTAACAATCTGTTACAAAATTTGCGTCAGTAATATTTTTATGTCATATTTGAAATCAACAATTTCAAATTTAACATTTTTTTAATAGGCTTTTTTATATTCAGAAGAAAGTTTGAATTGTAAGTTTCGTAATTTTTTGGCATAACTTTATAATTTGGATGGATCTGCAGTCTACTGTGGGGTGTATTAAATGAATTTTTTAATGCAAAATATTTACTTCTGTTCAAATACATGTTCTGACGTATGACCTGATGTTTTCTAATATACATATGTTATAGCTAATCATATACATATATGTATGTATATTGTAGGGGAGAATGTCCTAAATTGGACCGTGTTCCAAATCAGATCTTTTTAATTTAAATAAATATACTATTTATAATGTAAAGTCTTTATAAGACACTGAACATGTGACAGCAGTTTGGCAGTACTCCGTCATAACGTTCATAGAATAGATGCAAATATGTATTTTTGGCTATCATGCAAAAATTTTTTTAAAAAAGAAAATCCTTATAAATCATTATTTAAAATAAAATGCTAATTTGAACGGTAATTGATTTAAGATAATTAAAAAGTGTAGAATTCAAAAATATTAAAAATTTTGTAATTACTTTTGAGGTTTATTGTAAAATTTGTTCGAATCGTTCGAAAGAACCCGTGTCCAAATCGGATCTATGTATACAAAAAACACTTAAAAGACGAGTAAGCCAGCTAATTCATCGAAGAAAGAAGGTTCGCCACAACCTGGTTGTAGTACTGGTGATCGACCGACCAGATCTAGTCTAAGGAACACTAAATCACAATAAAATATCATGTGTATTATCAGACTCAGATTGATGAAATTTTTTATTGATTTTAATTCTAATAATATAAACTGTATTTTTATTTTTGAGTCTTAAATTGCTCGTTTTTACTCAATACTGACAAAAATTAATTAAAATGCTTTAAAATTCTATCTAAAAGTCCATAAAACTATAGAAAAGTTCCAAATCGGACCGAAAAATACATTTTTACATTTTCCATTATAGTTCGACACAAGTAAAAGAGATACGTCAAAATGGTCTGAAGCAAAAATAAAGGAAATTAAATAATCTTTCGAATCATTGGTTTCTGCACATCATTGGTTTTATGATCGAACTTTATTTACGCCTTATAGAGAACAAAAACTGCAAATTATAAGTCCGATTTAGACCATTCTCCCCTATCTTATATTCGCATATATAAGTATAATTATATATTTATAAGATAGGGTGGGACTATTCCGTCAGTTTCGACTTTAAGGTAATAGGAAAATTTACGATAGCAAACAATATCTCTTTGTAGTGCTTATAATTACACATTATACAATCATGATTGCTTTTAAGAGCACAAATATAATCTTTAAATAACCAACATATGCTGTTCAGGAACATAAACATTATCGCGAGAAATGGTTTATGTACATATATGTGAGCACTTCTTTTCAAGTTGCACGCGCGCATAATTTATTATTGTAATTTATATATAATTATTGGAAAATAAACTCTATTCGCCCTAATCGATCTACATTCGCATGATATCTTTTTTTTCTTTTTTTTTGCGTTAGATTATCTATAGGTCCTTTTTTCAAGTATTGATGTGTATAATTTAAAAAGTTATATAACGTACGTATGTAATCCTATATGTGTATATGTTACAATACGCTATTTCGAATTGTATTTAATAATTATACATCCTAATACTTCCACAAGTATTTTTTAAAGGAACGTAGTGTTGCTATGCGTTTGTCTTATTGTAAGTCACTACCGTGTCTCTTGATAAAGAAGCTATACATTTCGCGAGCCATTTCCATTATCAAATCCATTATTGGAATGCCAATGTTTTGCGAACATTGCAATTATATCTTTTTATTTATATAAATTTATCTAATATTGAATACTTAAATGACTTTTTTATTTAATTCTCCGAAAACTTTCTTGCTACAGTATTTAAAGCTTCGAATTTTGGAATACCCTGATGTATAATATACAAATGTACGTATCTTTCCAAAACAATTAGATAAGCGGGATAGAAAATTAAGAAAAATGAAATTGTAAAGTTAGTCTAAAACTAATGAATTAAGGTATTATACAATCGCATTATAAAGTTACAAAAGTGCAAAAAGTGGTACCTGCTCGTGAAAAAATTTATTTTCTCTTTGCACATGTTTGAATAAATGTATATATGTCAATGTACGGTAAAATATAGAACGAAATAATACGAAATTTTGGTGGGGCTCCGATATCTACTAAAAATATACGCACAATCGAGTATGTATATTTGTTGTGTGTGTGTATATCGTATATTTTATGCACATATACAGTATATGTGCATACATATACATATATGTATAATATAATACACACATGTTTACATTTGCGTATATATATATACACATATACATA